AATGAATATTCATTTATTTACTTTAATGTTTCAATATGTTGTAAGATAATAAATAAAGATTTTTACTTCTGTCCTTGATAGCAGCCTACCCACTGCTTTACTTATACACCTAATCAAATAGCAGCATTACATTTTCTGTTGTTGCTTTTTAAATCCCATCTGGCGGCTCCTTTCAAAATACTCTGAACTTGACCCCTTCAAAGCCAAGCCAAAATGTGTTGACATAAGAGGGACGTTGACAGTAAGACATATTATAGTGGCTAAATGTGGCTGAAAAGTTTTTAGGGTTGTTCAAATGCGCCATACTATATGGACTTTTAATGTCTTCTAGGTCTTAGATAAAATCAGCTAATAAAGACAAGGACTAGTTGACCTTGCATAGCGCAAAATAAAGATGTCCATAGATCTCTAGTGTTCTAAGGGCTATGTTTGCCTCTGCATTGATTTAACACTTATGGAAAACTGCCTGACTTGGTCTATTTGAAGTGTGTTCTGTTCAATTCTGGTGAGTAAACATTATCTTTGTTTATTACAGGCTGTTCCTGCAGAACTTCAAGGCAGGTGCCCGCGCACTAACCGATGCTGAGACCAAGGCTTTCCTCAAGGCTGGTGACGTTGATGGTGATGGCAAGATCGGTGCTGACGGTACGTTCACCACAGAAAGTTTATAACACTCATTAGACATCCTTCATTAAAAAAAAAACTAAAGTTCAACTTTGTTTGTTTCTCTGTCTGTGTCCACCCTGCAGAATTCTCTACCTTGGTTAAGGCATAAAGACAACATGACCAACAACACATGCTCTGATGGAACAACAATGCCCACATCGACCTCCCCCCATTTCATCTGAATATAAACAATTTTTATACATTTGCTTAAGGGACGTTTCCTCATATATACAACACACTGTCCAAAAGATGATGATTTTGAATGTTGCTCGGTTGTGTTCATGTCTTAAATATGAATTTTGCTAACTGTAAAATCTATGCACTTTCCAGGAACTAAAGATAAAAGGACAATAAAATAATTATTTCTTTGTTTTGTGTTATTTCATCTATAAAACCAATTATAAACTGATTAGTTGTTTAGAGAAAAGGAAACAAATTTCTTAACCCAAAAACATATACCTCGAGTTCAGAGGGTCAAAACCACAGATTTTTTGCATATATTGTTCTAAACATCAAGATTTAAAAACTGATTTATCTAGTCTTTGCCCTTGCACACACATAAAGTCATTTCAGTTTCTAAATAATATCTGGATAGGATTAGGTAGAAAGTGGCTAACTAAAGAGCCCTTTGTGGCACATAACCAGAGGTCGCTCCATACCAAAACACACTCATTTGAGCATTTCATCTATAATATACTTTCATTTATCCTTTGCCATTATTCAGCTGTGTGCTTGATCCTTTCTCGTTATCCTTGACTTTAGTTATAGAGACCAAAGCTTTAACTAAGAAATTAATAAAATGTTTACAAAGATTTACAAAGCATCCCTTGCCATTTGCTGGTATATCAGTAAGCACAGAAACTCACATTTCAAATGAGGTCAGAAATAATAATGTGTTCTTCTATGTAGCTCCTTCCTTTAGCCACTAGATGGAAGTATTGAGATGCTTCTAAGGTACACTTCAACCATCTCAAAGCATTGGAAAAAGACATCAGTCAAGGGATTTTTTTTCTTTTGCCTATTTTAAGTTGATTCCTTCATATTCATTTTACTCTATTTTATTTTGTTCGTGTAGTTTTTGTTTTGTTGCATTATTATTATTATTATAATTTTTTTTACTAAAGTAATACAAGTATTTGTCTTGTGCTTTGCACTTTTTTATTTTGTCATGTTGCAAGCAAATACTGTACATCACAGATTTGATTTCAGTGGAAAAGAAATGACAGTTGATTTACATTATGTTTTTTTTTTTTTTTTTGAACAGGGGGCCTTCGCTGTATGGTAGCTTACAAACTTACATTACCTTACATTTTCATACCTATTTTATTATATCATTTCATGAGACAATATTGAAATACATTCTTTAACCTGATCACATCAGGGAGCTTTGAATTATTAAAAATTGCATACAACATAGAACCATGAGGCTCCCACTAACATGCTTGAGTCTAAGACAGACAAACTTTTCTTTCTACTTCCAATGTAAGTTTAACTTGTCTCATCAGACCACAGGACACAGGGCGCGAATCCAGTAATCCAAAAACTTAGTCTGCCTGTCTTCAGCCAACAGGTTTCCCTGTGCTTCATCTTTAGCCCTATTTCTGGAATGACAGCTATTCAGACTGTTTTGATGTAGTGTTTGCATGTGCATTTATCTTTTGTTTGGTTGACCTGATGGCAAGAACTGATGGAACTGAAACCTGTCGTGATAAACCACAATATGGTCTTGGCCACCATGCTGCACGTCCATTTCTGGAAGTTTACAACCTTAAGAGTGATTCATCAAATTTCACAAACCTGCTCTCCATTCACACTAACAAATCCCATTCCCTTTTATTAAAACCCAAGACTGTTGCAAGTGAAAAAAGACATAAATGCCTCCTTGTTGAGTATTTTCCTGTGAAAAGATACGATAAAACTTTCACAAAAATGTGAGGATTGTTTGCACTTCTGAAACACTGTATATCTAGATACCTAAATCTTTATGAAACCGCATTTTACAATTACTCACATTTGCAATTACTTTTAGGACTTTTTGAGTATGACTTTACCAGCTTTGCACTTCTACACCTGAAATTTAAATTCTTATTTTTGTAAAATATTCCATACCCTGTCAGACTGGATAGAGAGCATCTGTGAACAGCAATGTAAAGCAATAAGGTATTTTGACTGGGGCTAAACCTTTGTTTGGCCGTCTCTAACCCGCTTGCCTTCAGGATTGCCCTGTACTATGTTCCATCCATCTTTCCATGAACTAACCCGCTTTTCTGCATCTGCTGGCAAGGACATCTCCAAAGCATAATGCTGCATGTTTTAACTGCGGGTATTTTTTGCTGACGAGTCATTGCATTTTGAAAGGAAATGAAAAAGTCCACTTTTGGTCATTTGACCAGTGCACCCCTCTACAGGACTTATGGAAAACTACTCAAAATCCTTTGGCATTATTTCAACAGGAACTTCTTCGTGCCACTTTTCAGTTAATGATAGGATGGTCAAGTGAAAACTAACAATTTTCTTTGGACAAATGTTCCCACCTGAGCTCAGGATCTTTGCACGTACGCCAAGGACTTCTTGGCTGCTCCTCTAATCAGCGTACATGTCCATGTTCTAGTATTTTTCCAGTTTGTAGAGTTTTTCTCCATTGCTGGATGACTGCTCAGAGCTAACTTCATGATCATTCTGTTTTTTTCCAAAAACCTCTAGAGTAGCCGTGTTTCACTGAATTTTATTTTGAGATATCATGAGATAAGGGAAGACAGACATGTACACTTCAGATTTTGGAAAACAAACAAGAATAGAAGATTGAAACTTTATTGTCATGACTGTCACAAGTACGAAGCAAGGAAATTAACTCTCTGCATTTAACCTATCCCCTTGGGGAGCAGGGGGCTGCCATTGTGTGGCACCCAGGGAGCGGAGTGGAGTTAAAGGTCTTGCTCAGAGTGGCAATCCATGGGAGTGGGGTTTGAACTAAGACCCTCTGGGAACAAGTGCAATGCCCTAACCACTAGGCCACCACTCCTCAGCTTTGTTTTGTTTTTTATTGCAAGCTTTAAATAAAAAGCTTATCTTCAAAGTAACTCTTAGTTTATTATCATGGTGTGGTAAACAAAGAACCATTTAATGAAATACTTTCTTTTAATGTAACGCAGAGACAGAAACAGCATGTCTAACAATGACTTGGTTTTCTCTCACTGATCTGTCAGACTCCTTTGCCCAGAGAGGTGAGAAAACACATCGTCCTGTCTCTCTGTCTTCACTCTTACAGAGCACTAGCAGATGTAGATAAATAAATGATTGTCCTGTAACAGTATAGTTAAGGTGCTATCAAAGGAGGGCATGACATCATGCACCTGTTCTAGGTAAAGTTGCATCACTCTTCTCCAACATGTGTCCTTGTTCTCTTTTTCACTCACAGTCACAGTAATATGATTGAGTTTCCATTTACCTTCTCAGTTTGGTCCACTTCACCAGCACGGCTCAGACACCGACTGTTGGGTTGAGAGGCCTCACTGACAAGATGGTCGTCATGTAGGACTGAAGAGAAAGAGGAGGGAAAAGCCTTAAATTAATAAGATTCACTACATTATCATAGTTTAAGCTTAAGCCCAGGAGGCCGCAGATTTAGAACAGCACAAAAATAAAGCTGAATCGAGTCTCACTCCCTTGCACATCAGTTACTTTAACAAAACTGTTGCATGTTAGCAGGGTAGGAAATAAAACAATTGTGTTAAAGTAACTATATATGATGAAGTAAATGGCAAAAGCAGTTGCTTTATTTTTTTCAGTGTAGCTATCCGGGGTGGGGGGGTCACCAAAATTTCTGCAAAAGTTGTAAAATTTATGTTTCTGCAAAATTAATGAACTACCTTACAGAAAAAGTACGATTTTATATTGTACATTTACAAGTTTTATTCTGACTTTGGGAACATTGGACACTTCCACAAGAATCAAATTTTACCACAAAAATCTAATTTTGTAAGTACTTTTTAAAATTTTGGGGTGAATTTTCTCCCCCAAAAACATTTAGCTGTAAATTCTACTCATAGTTATTGATTCAGAGGTACACTTAGAAAAGCATGGGAACTGACCTGCTAAAATCTAAGTTTTGGGTTGATCATTTAAGCGTTACAATGCATAATGATAGGAAATCTACTTCAATTTGATTACAGTGGAAAAACAGAATATAAAACTATATTATTTGCGACCTAAAATTCTGATATCCTACCCATAATTATTAACATTGCTCTAATGTGTATGGGATGTGCGGGTGTTATTTTTCTAGACCAACCAGTGTGTAAGAACTGTGCCATTTATTGACCGAGGCGCACGAGAGCGCACCACAAAGATTGTTCTTAACTTTGATCTCATGAATTGTACATGAAGTGGCGGGCTTCTGTAATCCAAATGATTCAAACATTCAATTAGACGTACACAAATAAAAATAAAGGACAAAGCAACATTAAACAGCACTGCTGAGCACATTTGCTCGTTGCGCAGTCTCACAATCCCCTTCAGAGAATAAATATTCTTCATCATCCGCCAATGGGACAACTACAGAAGAGGATTAGGGCCACTGAAGAAAAAAAGTAAACTGATTTTTGAATTTTATTTCAGTATAATATGAGTAAAAGTCAGAATTCTGCCTTTAATCTCAGAATTTTGACTTTTTTCCTCAGAATTCTGACTTTAATCTCAGAATTCTGACAGCTAACAAACATGTTAGCATCAAGCAGTAGCCATGTCTGTTTTAATCACCTTCTGCTCTTCCATTAAAGAAATAGCATCTCCTGGGGCCCTCGGGCACGTAAAAAGTCGCCTAATTCCTTCATTTTTCACCAGTGTGTTACAGGCCCTCACAAACAATTTACATCTTTGTCAGTGAAGCTGAGTGCTCCCACATCTCTTCCTTTATGGTGCCCTTCTACATTAAGATCCACAATTCTGAGAATAAAGTCAGAATTCTGAGAAAAAAGTCAGAATTCTGAGATTAAAGTCATAATTTTGAGAAAAAAGTCAGAATTGTGAGAAAAAAGACAGATATCTGAGATTAAAGTCAGAATTGTGAGGGGGGAAAAAAAATCAGAATTCTGAGATTAAAGTCAGAATTGTGAGAAAAAAAGTCTGAATTGTGAGATTAAAGTCAGAACTTTGAGAAAAAAAGTCAGAATTGTTAGAAAAAGACAGATATATGAGATTAAAGCCAGAATTGTGAGGGGAAAAAAAATCAGAATTCTGAGATTAAAGTCAGAATTGTGAGAAAAAAAGTCTGAATTGTGAGATTAAAGTCAGAACTTTGAGGAAAAAAATCAGAATTGTGAGAAAAGGCCAATTTCTGAGATTAAAGTCAGAATTGTGAGAAAAAAGTCA